CCATTTATGGACATTTTGAAGTATCAACATTTTAATGGAATTTACTTTCACTGAAGGAAACGAAATCCCTCAGGTTTTAATAAAAATGTCTTAATTTGTGTTTGAGGAGAAGAACAAACATCTTATGGGTTTGGAACAACATGAGGAACAGGAGCTATCCCTTTAAAATATCAATTTTATGTGATTTTTAATTATTTGTTTTTGAAAGCATTTCTATACCACTTTTTGGTAAAGTTTAACCACATTAGAAAGCCATAATCCTATCACACTACTAGTCACTTTCCTTTGAAGCAAACAACAAATCCGGCCAGATGCCAAATATAACGTGGCACCACAGTTCCTGCTTCATCATACCAGAGCTGCCTTCAGGTTCAAACATAAAAGGGTTTAAGCAAGAAATATCGAAATACAGAGCCCTTCCAGGGAGTTTAGAACAAGATGGGAGAAAGAAAGGGAGAAATACATACATAGCTGGGAATATTGAGATTCAATCAGGCAAAAAGGGTCCAGGTTGCATGACAGTAAAGAAAAGGCCTTTTGTTTAGTATATTATGGCTCACAGTCACACAGTTCCTTTTTTTACACCTTTGCATATGAAAAGCAATGAGGAAGAGGTGGTCATCCATAGGGATCTAAGAGTTTGTGCAGGGAAGTTTTTCAAAGCAACAATTAAATTTGTCCACATGATATCATATTGAAACAACATCTTGATCAAGTTTCAACATGAAGCTTCACATTTACGTCAAGACATGCCACTGCAAAAAGCACAGTAAAGTTGTAGTTGGGTTACAAGTGGTGCAAAAACAAAGCAACAACCAATGCATGCTGGCGGAAAATTAGAGATACCAGGCAATTTGTCGTGGGCGGATGACACTAATCTGGTTTACACTACTATATCGCCTCACTAGAAAAGCTAGCAGCACACCTTTATTAAAAAATACATTAAAAGGCCAGGAATTTGAAGAGATACCGTAGGGACACGGTAACATAGTTGTTCTAAATAAGCCCCAGTATGTGCGGGCTTTAAGTCACACGCGTCGACACGTGCAACTGTACCGAGAACAGAACAAGTACAACAAAGAGAACAGATCGCGCCCTGCTCTTCAAATACTGTGAACAGAATAATATTAACCTATACAATCAAACAAAAAAATACGAATCACTAATGGTCACGATTAGGTTTCATAAAATAATTAACTTTGGGGTTGTTTCTAACTTTTCGAACACAAGTTTTTAAAGTCCTCCTGTAATGTGAACACTTTACGGTAACGTTACAGCACTTTGTGCTGCGCGTGCACGCGTATGTGTTTCCGCGTGTAGGAGTTCAATATTTCGACATGTCCATTTTGCGACGGCTCGAAAAAACAGAATGTATATTATAGTTACATATTGACAAACTCCCTAGATATTCACACGACGCAAGAAACCGGTGGACGCAAGCACAAAAGACTACAACGATATTCCAGGTCCGTTGGTGACCATAATAATACTGTAACACATCGACAACTATTCATGCCAATGTATCGAAAACAAAAACAGCCGTTTAATAATTCACTTACAACAGATATTTAACAGTCTAGTAAAGTAAAATGGCAGCCTATGGCTAACAACAGGCTTTGTCCGCATCGCCGGACTGGCGACTTTAGTAATCGCGTTATGACACACTAATTAACAGCCACATTTCCAATTGAAACTCACAAGATAATGACATAAGGACAGTGTGATTAGCTTAAAAAACAAATAACGTTACACGTCATGATCTTTAACAAAACAGATCGCTGTGATCGGAACAGTGCTTTTGATTGGATTAGGATTCAATAGCGAGCTAGAATATTAAAGTACTATCATCAATCAATATCTTACCGACCTTCTATTTCTATATTCAAGTACATAGACTGAATCATTTGACTATCGATATATGTCAGCTTTATAGTGATTCAGACCCGGCTAAAGACTCCGAGTGGCTAACCGTGTTAGCTATGCTAACTAACCTTCACAGCGCAAAAAAACAAACAGATCTTACCAGTGAATACCCTCTTCTTTAAAACCAGTATTGGGTCACCATGGAGCTGCGTCTAATAGATGGAAATCCCAGGGTTACTGTAAACGCTGTAGCTATATGCTGGTATGGAATATATTCTGAGATTCTGACGGCCCTTTACGATATGAACATCCGTCTACGGAGAAGGTTGAGTGCAGCCAGCCAGCGGGGCCAGATCGGAGTACCTCCTCCCAACAGTAGGAAAGGGTTTCGAGCTCCACCAGTGGCCTCGCTCTCACACCGTCTCCATGACGACCATGGCGAACTGTACGCGAGAGGGGCGGGGCTTAGTCTGCTAGTTCACGAAAAATCAGCTGTACTTGGAGGAGGATCCCCCGATGGGTCTGGTAAGTAGGTAGGTTTAGCGTAATTGCAATATAAACGCACTGAAGTGCATTTACTCTCTTCTAACATCTCGAGTTGCTATTTTTCATAAATAAAATGTAATTCTGGCTTCACAATTTATAATAAAGATGATTTTAGTTAAGTTTAGATAGAATTTGAATATTTGGATAAGTAACGTGGTCAGAGGTGGAAAGTAACGAATTTACTCGCGTTACGTAGTTGAGTAGTTTTTTGTGTTTCTTTTTAAAGAAGTTTTTAAAATATGTAATTTTAAATTTCGTTATGTTTGTATTGTACTTCTTGAAATCATATCCGCTACTGAGTAAAAAATAAGGAGAAGAAAGCAAGCGCTCGGCTCGAATTCTTATGAAGCGAATGGCCTGTATGAAATTACTTTGTAGGAAAATGCGTGGTTGTCCTTGAGGATAGATATCCTAATAAAAAAAACATTAATTTTCTAAATGAAATAGCCTACATTTCATAAGACAATGTTATTAGATTTATTAGATTAGATTTTTAGACCAGTACTTTTCCTTGTACTTAGCCTAAGTAAAATTTTATTGAAGTAGTAGTAGGCTACTTTTACTTGAGTAGAATATTGTATTACTCTTTCCATCTCTGAATGTGGCAAGCAACAGGATCAGATTTAATTTACTCAATTTATTACTAGGGCAGCAACAAAGAAGAGTAGAAGAGACATTTGAACATGTATACATTGTACATTGTATGAAAATGAAAGATGAGTTTTGCTCATAAAATTGCAGGAAAAAGGAATCCAAGACATGTCATTGAAAAAAGTGTTGGCAAGAAAACAAGGTATGAAAGATGAGGTGTTGCAATATATAGAAGCAACAAGGTTATATTTGAAAATATAATTAGGTAACAAACTAAGGAATCCCCCCCCCCCCCCCCCTAATTTAGAAAGAGTAGTTCTTTCCGCATAGTGGTACCTTACAGGTATGGTGACATCACTTTGTAGACAAAATGCAGTCAATGGGGTTTTTTTAACGGGGTTTTGGTTAAATGGCTGAAGGTCTGTAGTGAACACAAGCTCAAGACACTTTCACGTTTTATTCTAGACATAAAATACACCAATAATATTACCACACTAAAGCTGTTACGTGTCTTGAAAAAGGCTGTTGTTAACAAATGGCATATTTTTTTTGTCTAATCAATAAACATTATATTTTAACCATTTATTAAATGCTCGAAGAAAAGAAACAAATGGCTAAAGTCTGTCGAGGAGATTAAACGTCATCACACCTAACAGGTCAGCTCAGTCCGCTTTTATCTTAGACAGAACTGGTTTTTACAGCATTATAGTTGATTGTGCCCTTACAAACTAATCTAACTCAAACATTCTGGGAAAATATTTGTAGATAAAATCTGAAAGAGTTGTCTGAACCTTGTCTGGTGGTGACGTTGATGGCCATGGGATTGTGGTGTAGTTTGTTTATTTTCTAGCTTTAGCTTTTTACTTCTGGCGACTGAATTTAAGCTTGTGTTCATCGGTGATTATTATTTTGATAGACAAAACGTGTAAGTATCATAAACTTTTGTTGATCACAGAGCTTTTTTAGCGCTAATCCAGAAGCATGTGTGGTAAAATTCTATTGGTTTGGTTTTTCTTGAGGGAACCAGTGTGATGTTAACTGCCAGTTAGCCTACAAATCGATGTCATTATTGGTCATTATCATACCTGCACGGCTGCAGCCCTCTATTTCTGTAACTGCAGTAGTTGCTGTAAATGCAATTATTGTTGTAATTGCTGTAACCCACATAAAGATAAATTGGTGGCGGTAATGCACCTAAAAGCTGGGTTGCCAACTTCCAATAAACAAAGAAGAAGAAGAAGAAGAAGAAGAAGAAGAAGAAGAAGAAGAAGAAGAAGAAGAAGAGGTGAGCAACAACACATTACTGCAGTAATAATCACACAGAAGTACAACCAATGAGATCAGTCATTTGTACAGACTCCCTTTCATATAAACAGCAAGATATAATAGTTGAAGTGATGTAGAGTAAACCTCTTGTGGGTACCAATCACAGGGTGTGAAAGGAAATGAAAAGGCAGACCATATGGCTAAACGGGCTTCAAAAGATTTACAAATTGACATTAAAGTGTCAAAGAGTACAGCAGAAGTAAAAAGGTTAAATAAGAAAGAAATGGCAGAAGGAGTGGGTTAGTTGAACAAAAGGTAGACACTTTCATCACATCCAAGAAAAAGTAGGTCTAAAAAAGAAAATTTGGAAACAGGAAAGATGCCGTTTTAATCTCAAGAATTCATATTGGACATTGTTGGTGGGGAAGCATGAAACTGAAAACTGAGACAAATGTGGTCAAGCGCAGGATCACTACCCTTACTTATAGAGTGTGATGCATATGAAAGAGCAAGATTTCAACTAATTCAAGTGTAGGATATTTTGCAATAAATAATTTGTCACTTCAGGTTCCGTTAGGAAATGGCCCAAAACAATCAAGAATATTTCATGAATTATTTCTTAATTTTTTATTTATTTAATTATTTTCTTAAAAGAAACTAGACTTATCAATGGAATTTAAGATATCGCTGAATTAACCCCCCTCCCAGTCCCATCCCATTTTCATTGGTCTTATTGTTTACCAACTTCCCAACCATTATGCGCTCCACACACTCCTCTCCAGTAGGTGACGGAAATGCAACATAAGTTGGTTGGACTTTGACCACCGCCGTTAAACACCAGAAGAAGAAGAATAAGAAGAAACAAAAAACGACATGTTGAAGTTTGCTGTTACCCATTTCGCAAGAAATACTCTGGCAAAAGTGCATTACAGCTCGGGGGTCAGCATTAGGCTTTTGCCCAGTAATAAGTGCTCTTTTGAAGACCCAGTGCACGTGACCGTGAGTGGCTTAAATCCCCAACAACGCGTGGTCCTGCGCTCTAAAATCACCGATGAAAAGGGACTTGTTTTCAAGGCTTCAGCCACCTACCAAGCAGACAACAGTGGTCAAGTTGACCTGAACCGCGACTCTTCTCTTGGTGGCAGCTTTACCGGGGTTGAACCAATGGGCTTATTCTGGGCACTAAAAGCAGACGTCGTAAGCAGCAAATTTGCACTAACAGACGTGACACGCACTCAACTCGTTGACCTTGAGTGTGTCAGTGACGATAAAGTCATCGCTAAAGTAACAAACGAGAGACACTGCATTGCCGATGGTATCCGGAGAATTCCTGTAACTGAAGGCAGGATCAGAGGAGCTCTTTTTATGCCACCTGGTCAGTTATTGTAAGCTGTAATAACTTCTGTCTTAAAGACTAGTTTGTAAGGCACTCCATATAGCATTGGTTCTCAACCAGGAGGCCGCAGTATTATTTATATTTAAAACATATTTAAATGTTTTAGATAAACTCGTACTCACTCAGTCGACTGAGATGCGAAAGTTTTTGCCCATATTCTGTTTTGTAGCAGCGCCTTGTGGTGAAAATGGAGAAGTGCAGTGTAACACTATTGCTTGACTATTGAAAAGGTCTTCAATTGTCAATCACAAATTCTTGCTGGCCATTATTATTTTAATCAAGCCTGTCAAATCTGATTTTCTAACTTTTCAGGTAAAGGACCATTTCCTGGTATTTTGGATACCAATGTGCTAACAGGACCTCCATTTGAGTTGAGGGCAGCTCTGCTGGCAAAAAGAGGATTTGCTGTTTTAGCCTTAGCTTTCCATGGATACCAAGATTTACCTAAAAAAGTTGACAAATTTCACCTCGAGTATTTTGAAGAAGGTATAGATTTCTTGCGACAACAGCCAGAGGTTAGTGTAAAACCGTTAATGCACATTCCTTATTGTTCTTATAATCTCTAAATAAAAAAAAGCTAATTACAAAGATGGGTTTATAAGAATCACAAATTCAATTCCAGCACATTTTTTTTTCAAAGGTCAAAGATCAAAAAATTGGTCTAGTGTCCATATCAAAGAGTGGAGATCTCGCTTTGTCAATGGCAACATTCCTACCTGGTATATCGGCCACTGTTTGTGTCAATGGATGCAATTCCAATACTTTGATACCGATCTACTACAACGACATCTGTGTTCCACCCCTCATGTTCGACGTAAAGAGATCAAAAATGACACCATTGGGCCTTTTGGATGTTGGGGATTGCATGAATGACCCGATGTCCAAAGAAGGCCTTCCTAGCGTTATTCCCATTGAGCGTGCCTCTGCTCAATTCATGTTTATAGTGTCAGAAGCTGACAGGAATTGGCAAAGTGCCTATTATGCAAAACTTGCATGCGACAGACTCAAAGCACATGGGAAAAATAACTACGAGCTGGTGAAGTATGAAAAAGCGGGTCACTTTATTGAGGTGCCTTATATGCCCTTTTGTCTCGCTTATTTTCATGCTGCAGCTAACCATGTGATTTTCTTTGGTGGGGAACCCAAGGCTCATTCAGAAGCACAGTGTGACGCATGGCAGAGGATTGTGAATTTTTTTCAAAAAACACTTAGCTGTAACACTTTGCTGTAAGAAAAAGGGCATTTACAGTACATAATAGTAGTCATAACATCCAGTTATAATGTTGACTTGCATTTCTAATCTAGATATCAAGTATTAAAAAAATCATTTTAGTGATAATGGTTGATTATATGCTTCTAAATCTATTGATGTTTATATCATTCATACATATTATAATATAATATTATCAACGTTGAATGAAAACAATTATGCTGCTAAAATGTTTTTTATAAGAATTAAATGTGTTACAGTCACTATTTAAACCATCCTTACTGAACAAAAATATTATTTTCTTGTTTTCAAAAAACAGTAATGAACTTTACTGATATGCCATTTTTTTAATTATATCTTAATTATATATATTATATTTTAATAACATCACCATACTAGGTCCAATTTATGGTACAGCCCCTGGTGCCTTCATTTCAAAGAACCCTTGATTACATCTTTAGCCTTAGTAGAGGTAAAAGGAGGTTTTCTTCCTCTTCAGTACTAGGCTTGTTTGAGATGAGCAAAATCTGCGCAGAACCGATCACCGGTGATCAGCGCGAGATGCATGACAGGTGTCGTGCCAAGGTACTTACCCCTGATAGAAAGTGTATCCCCGGTCGCGGGAGCGCGCTCGCATTCAGCAGAAGGTGTGTCATTGCTTTGTCCAAGGTGAATTAAACTATAACACGTGAATTGTTTAAGTTATCGTTTTACTGTTGTTTTTTTTTTAAACGAGGTTTAGCAAAGACAGATATCACGTGGCCCATCACAAACAAATTATTTTATTCTTCTGTGGGCAAACGATCGAGCTTCATGCACGGAATGAACTTCATGCCCCCCCCCCAATACGGATACAGATTCTTTCAGACCGTATTTTCGACCTGCCAAAATATGTATCCCCCCCCCTAAAATCTACAGATGATGGCCTATCATTAAGTGTTTTATTTTGTGAATACTGTTCAAATATGTCTAATAACAGCATTGAATATGGACACATTTCTTGTTTCATGACAAAAGTTACAGTGGGATACAGATTTTTTCAGACCGTATTTTCGACCTGCCAAAATATGTATCCCCCCCTAAAATCTACAGATGATGGCCTATCATTAAGTGTTTTATTTTGTGAATACTGTTCAAATATGTCTAATAACAGCATTGAATATGGACACATTTCTTGTTTCCTGACAAAAGTTACAGTGGGATACAGATTTTTTCAGACCGTATTTTCGACCTGCCAAAATATGTATCCCCCCCTAAAATCTACAGATGATGGCCTATCATTAAGTGTTTTATTTTGTGAATACTGTTCAAATATGTCTAATAACAGCATTGAATATGGACACATTTCTTGTTTCCTGACAAAAGTTATAGTGGGATACAGATTTTTTCAGACCGTATTTTCGACCTGCCAAAATATGTATCCCCCCCCTAAAATCTACAGATGATGGCCTATCATTAAGTGTTTTATTTTGTGAATACTGTACATCATGTCTAATAACAGCAGTGAATATGGACACATTTCTTGTTTCCTGACAAAAGTTATAGTGGGATACAGATTTTTTCAGACCGTATTTTCGACCTGCCAAAATATGTATCCCCCCCCTAAAATCTACAGATGATGGCCTATCATTAAGTGTTTTATTTTGTGAATACTGTTCAAATATGTCTAATAACAGCATTGAATATGGACACATTTCTTGTTTCCTGACAAAAGTTATAGTGGGATACAGATTTTTTCAGACCGTATTTTCGACCTGCCAAAATATGTATCCCCCCCTAAAATCTACAGATGATGGCCTATCATTAAGTGTTTTATTTTGTGAATACTGTTCAAATATGTCTAATAACAGCAGTGAATATGAACACATTTCTTTTTTCCTGACAAAAGTTATAGTGGGATACAGATTTTTTCAGACCGTATTTTCGACCTGCCAAAATATGTACCCCCCCCCCCCTAAAATCTACAGATGATGGCCTATCATTAAGTGTTTTATTTTGTGAATACTGTTCAAATATGTCTAATAACAGCATTGAATATGGACACATTTCTTGTTTCCTGACAAAAGTTACAGTGGGATACAGATTTTTTCAGACCGTATTTTCGACCTGCCAAAATATGTATCCCCCCCTAAAATCTACAGATGATGGCCTATCATTAAGTGTTTTATTTTGTGAATACTGTTCAAATATGTCTAATAACAGCATTGAATATGGACACATTTCTTGTTTCCTGACAAAAGTTACAGTGGGATACAGATTTTTTCAGACCGTATTTTCGACCTGCCAAAATATGTATCCCCCCCTAAAATCTACAGATGATGGCCTATCATTAAGTGTTTTATTTTGTGAATACTGTTCAAATATGTCTAATAACAGCATTGAATATGGACACATTTCTTGTTTCCTGACAAAAGTTATAGTGGGATACAGATTTTTTCAGACCGTATTTTCGACCTGCCAAAATATGTATCCCCCCCCCTAAAATCTACAGATTATGGCCTATCATTAAGTGTTTTATTTTGTGAATACTGTACATCATGTCTAATAACAGCATTGAATATGGACACATTTCTTGTTTCCTGACAAAAGTTATAGTGGGATACAGATTTTTTCAGACCGTATTTTCGACCTGCCAAAATATGTATCCCCCCCTAAAATCTACATATGATGGCCTATCATTAAGTGTTTTATTTTGTCAATACTGTTCAAATATGTCTAATAACAGCATTGAATATGGACACATTTCTTGTTTCCTGACAAAAGTTATAGTGGGATACAGATTTTTTCAGACCGTATTTTCGACCTGCCAAAATATGTATCCCCCCCTAAAATCTACAGATGATGGCCTATCATTAAGTGTTTTATTTTGTGAATACTGTACATCATGTCTAATAACAGCAGTGAATATGGACACATTTCTTGTTTCCTGACAAAAGTTATAGTGGGATACAGATTTTTTCAGACCGTATTTTCGACCTGCCAAAATATGTATCCCCCCCCTAAAATCTACAGATGATGGCCTATCATTAAGTGTTTTATTTTGTGAATACTGTTCAAATATGTCTAATAACAGCATTGAATATGGACACATTTCTTGTTTCCTGACAAAAGTTATAGTGGGATACAGATTTTTTCAGACCGTATTTTCGACCTGCCAAAATATGTATCCCCCCCCTAAAATCTACAGATGATGGCCTATCATTAAGTGTTTTATTTTGTGAATACTGTTCAAATATGTCTAATAACAGCAGTGAATATGAACACATTTCTTTTTTCCTGACAAAAGTTATAGTGGGATACAGATTTTTTCAGACCGTATTTTCGACCTGCCAAAATATGTATCCCCCCCTAAAATCTACAGATGATGGCCTATCATCAAGTGTTTTATTTTGTGAATACTGTACATCATGTCTAATAACAGCAGTGAATATGGACACATTTCTTGTTTCCTGACAAGTTATAGTGGGATACAGATTTTTTCAGACCGTATCGACCTGCCAAAATATGTATCCCCCCCTAAAATCTTCAGATTTGATAAAACATATTAAAAATTAAATTCAAAGTGAACTATCCCTTTAATAGTTTCTTTGGGAAGATGCCAGAATACTTGCTTGCAAGTAGAGCTAATGGCTCCCGTTGACTGTTGGCCTGTTAAATGTTCAGCCAGTTCATTCATAATTGAATGTTTTCCTACATCAGTGATATTAACTGCAGTTTCACTAATATTGTTGATATTAAAGTAATAAAATAATTTTTCAAAGATTCCATTGTTGTTTTGTTTTTGTATTGTTTAAGTGTTTATTGCATAATCTATGCATACATCTAGCATGTATTCTGTTCTAGGTAGTGTAACAGTTTTATAGCTATGAGTAGTCTATTGCCATTTATTTTCTTCAATTGTACTGTAATGTGCTAAATTTAGTCTGGCAAATTGGTTAATTTGACCCAGCATTTGGGTACACTATATAACAAATATGTAGTTGAATCAACCCAGAATTGTAATTAATTTGACCCAGCATTTGGGTACGCTATATAACAAATTTGTAGTTAAATCAACCCAGAATTTTGTTTAATTTGACCCAGCATTTGAGTAGAAATGAACAACTCATCTGTTGGGTTAAAAATAACCGACCCATCTTGCTGGGTCAAATTAACTACTGTTGGGCTGGTGCAATATTGATCCAGCGGTTGGGTTATAAAACAAACCAAGTTGGGTTATTTTTAACCCATCATTTTTTAGAGTGAAGCGAATGGCCTGTATGAAATTACTTTGTAGGAAAATGCGTGGTTGTCCTTGAGGATAGATATCCTAATAAAAAAACCAATTAAGTTTCAAAATGAAATACATTTCATAAGACAATGTTATTAGATTTATTAGATTCGATTTTTAGACCAGTACTTTTCCTTGTACTTAGCCTAAGTAAAATGTTATTGAAGTAGTAGGCTACTTTTACTTGAGTAGAATATTGTATTACTCTTTCCATCTCTGAATGTGGCAAGCAACAGGATCAGATTTAATTTACTCAATTTATTACTAGGGCAGCAACAAAGAAGAGTAGAAGAGACATTTGAACATGTAATATTACATTGTACATTGTATGAAAATAAAAGATGAGTGTTGCTCATAAAATTGCAGGAAAAAGCAATCCAAGACATGTCATTGAAAAAACTGTTGGCAAGAAAACAAGGTATGAAAGATGAGGTGTTGCAATATATAGAAGCAACAAGGTTATATTTGAGAATATAATTAGGTAACTAACTAAGGAATCCCCCCCCCCCCCCCCCACACACACACACACTTTAGAAAGAGTAGTTATTTCCGCATAGTGGTACCTTACAGGTATGGTGACATCACTTTGTAGACAAAATGCAGAAACGAGTTAGCCTTTTAACACTGGTTCCATCTCCCTAAGTCAATGTTTTTTTTAACGGGGTTTTGGTTAAATAGCTGAAGGTCTGTGGTGAACACAAGCTCAAGACACTTTCACGTTTTATTCTATGACATAAAATACACCAATAATATTATTACACACTAAAGCTGTTACGTGTCTTGAAAAAGGCTGTTGTTAACAAATGGCACATTTTTTTTGTCTAAACAATAAACATTATATTTTAACCATTTATTAAATGCTCGAAGAAAAGAAACAAATGGCTAAAGTCTGTCGAGGAGATTAAACGTCATCACACCTAACAGGTCAGCTCAGTCCGCTTTTATCTTAGACAGAACTGGTTTTTACAGCATTATAGTTGATTGTGCCCTTATAAACTAATCTAACTCAAACATTCTGGGAAAATGTTTGTAGATAAAAACTGAAAGAGTTGAACCTTGTCTCACGTTGATGGCCATGGGATTGTGGTGTAGTTTGTTTATTTTCTAGCTTTAGCTTTTTACTTCTGGCGACTGAATTTAAGCTTGTGTTCATCAGTGATTATTATCTTGATAGACAAAACGTGTAAGTATCATAAACTTTTGTTGATCACAGAGCTTTTTTAGCGCTAATCCAAAAGCATGTGTGGTAAAATTCTATTGGTTTGGTTTTTCTTGAGGGAACCAGTGTGATGTTAACTGCCAGTTAGCCTACAAATCGATGTCATTATTGGTCATTATCATACCTGCACGGCTGCAGCCCTCTATTTCTGTAACTGCAGCAGTTGCTGTATATGCAATTATTGTTGTAATTGCTGTAACCCACATAAAGATAAATTGGTGGCGGTAATGCACCTAAAAGCTGGGTTGCCAACTTCCAATAAACAAAGAAGAAGAAGAAGAAGAGGTCAGCAACAACACATTACTGCAGTAATAATCACACAGAAGTACAACCAATGAGATCAGTCATTTGTACAGACTCCCTTTCATATAAACAGCAAGATATAATAGTTGAAGTGATGTAGCGTCAGACAATCTGGACTTAGAGTAAACCTCTTGTGGGTACCAATCACAGGGTGTGAAAGGAAATGAAAAGGCAGACCATATGGCTAAACGGGCTTCAAAAGATTTACAAATTGACATTAAAGTGTCAAAGAGTACAGCAGAAGTAAAAAGGTTAAATAAGAAAGAATTGGCAG